CAAGGGTCAGTCATAGGTGTTTTGCATCTCCCAAGCTGTTCTAGCAAGAAAAAAATCGGCTACAAATTTCAATTCTTACAATCAAATCAAATTACCTTTGGGCAGTCTTCACCCGCATAGCCGGCTCGTATTGAATGGGCGCCAATGTCAAACACGATCGCACCAACTTCGTCTACAAACAAAAGCGATTTCGTGAACTTTGCAAGACTGAAAATGGTAGCAAATTACACAAAAATAACTACTGTTACCTCCTCCATACACTCCTCCGCTCATTTTTCTTGGATATTCAACGTTCGATGTAAAAAACCTAAAAGTATTTTGTTGCTAAATGAAACTGGCCGGCTAACTGACAAATAAGCACGTGTGCGAGTATTCGTTCGTTACTGGTCAGCGTTACAATCAAGATGGCGGACGGGCCAGGGGCGGACGGACTATTGTGAATCGTGGTCGCATTTCGTGGGATTTTAGGTTTTATCGTTTTACAAAATGCCACTAAAGGACCTTTTTGCCAAGGCTCCACCTCCGCTACCTCCAAGTGAAGAACCTTGGCCCCGACCAGAAACTTCTAGGGAGACAGTCAGACAGTCTTCACTTCACTCGGCTACCGCCCGTCCAACACTCGACGAATTCTTGCGGACAAATTATCTAATGATCCCAGACTTCTTGTTGAAAGTCACCCAGGCAAAGGTAGCGGCAAGAATGGGGAAAAGTAGTCATGATTTCCAGAGTGCGGCATCTAAGCAAAGCATGTTAACTTTTGGAACTGTACAAGGGCGTAGCACTTCTTCTGCTTCAGCTAATGTTTCCCCTTGTAACATCGTTAGCAATACCGATAAAGAAGTGAAAATTATTGAAAGCAGGGGAAAACAAGTAAAAGAACCAACAGCAAATCCCGCAATTCGTAGCACTAAGAACAGTGATATGCTATGTACTGTACTTTCACGAAAGCAAAGCTGTGAAGAAATTCAGGTTCCCCCACCATTGAAACCAAAGCCCAGGGTTAAGAAAGTAATGAGAGGAGGGTCCTTAGTAACCATTCCTCCCCCACAGCCCAGAAGACAGGAGTCTGTCAAAGATGGTGGAAAAAGCACGTTTTCTGATACTAATGTATGTTTAATGAGCAGTCTGGAAGGCAGAGATGCAGCTTGTGATGTTTGTGAGAGAAGCATTCAGGAAATTGTGGAAAATCCAAGTTTCAAAGAAACTCATGACGATCAGGAGCTTGCAAAGAAAGAGGGTTCAATCAACTCTGGTTTTGAAGCAGATAATTTAGAGACAAAAGTTTCCAGCCGGGACAACAGAGGGTCTGGAACAGAAGTTTTAACAGAGGATTGTGAGGTAAAACAGGTCCCGTTAACCCACTGTGATACTGCAGTATCAGAAAAAAGTCACAACACCTCATATGGAAATTCAAATGACAATTTTAATGAATCTGACAGCAATACCTGTCCAAGTGCCACACCTAAAGCAGATGAAAGCATTAATTTACTTAGTGAGGTTCCTGAGGTAATTCTGGATAAGGGCTCTGAGAAGGTATCTAATAAAGAACATCAAGGGGAGTTCACATCAGGCCTGAAAAGTGGCTCTTACGGGAAAGCTGCTATTGCCAAAGACAGTGAAGTTAACAGTGAAGACCTAAGGCTTAGTGAAAATCTTGAAAGGGCCCTTTGTGACGATCTTGATGGGACGCCACCTGTTTTAGACCCAGAAGAAATGACAATCTGTAAGGACCCTTTGGAAAAAACTAAGACAGAACTAACGCCACAAGGCATAGTCATTGTAGACCCTCAGCTAATAACTATGGATAACCCCATTATCAGGGAGAAATCAGCTGATTTGCCACATAAATTAGTCATACAAAGTTCCATTATGAAACAAACCCTGGCCAATAATAAGGAAGGTCAGTCTGCCAGAGAACCTAGTGAGAAGAATGCCAGTGGGAGCAACCCTTCAGAAAAACTTGTTAATGACAAAGAGGACAAACATCTTAATGATTTTGGTGATAAGGACAATGAAATTTATTGTTACAATGATGAGCAGAATGTCCCTGCTAACAGTACTGAGAAAATAACAGAGATCAATACGAAAGGCTGTGATGATACTGCTGTCAATGACAATGATGATAAAAGGAGTGACTGTGTAAGTTCATCCAGTACTGATGATAAGGAGGATAACAGCAATGACAGTGATGAAGTTGATGATGACAGCGATAATGATGATGACGGCAATGATGTTTATGTCAAAGACAACCAAGTGGATGATACCAATGAGGAATATGCTGAGCTTATAATGGATGATTCAACTTCAGAGGGGGAAGATGAATATGATGTTTACCCTGTCAATGACAGTGATTCTGATGAGAAGGAAGATGAACTTAAGAGCGATTACGAAGCTGAGGATATGAATTTGGACTCTGATACTGAATCAGCTACGGGTGGAATAACATCCTACCAAGACACTACAATTGGTGCAAGAGTGAAACAATCAAGAAGAAAGCTGCAGAGGGAGAAACGGAAGGCAAAAAATCAGAGAAAGAAAGCTTCCAAGAAAAGGGCCAAGGCAGCAAAACAGGTGTGTGCATTCAAGCGCATGCATGATGCTGGGTTCATGCATGAACGACTGTGCATATTTATACATTCAATTAAAGTTCAACTTATTGAGCTTGAAAGGCAAAATTAAGACCTTAAGAGTTCTTGAAAACTGAATTCATTGCTTGAAGGGCCTTGAAATTTGCTGCCCCTACATTTGTACATGTGCATGTAAATCCTGAATGTCTCAAAATGGCAAAAAGGTTTTCCTTTATACTGTTCAAACAATGTGCATACTTGCAGGTTAAATGTGACTATAATTGTATCATTTAATAAATTGTAGGTTGATTAACAGATTTGATTTTGGAATGATCTCCTTGGCAGTCCTTGATATTTTTTAATGAAAACTTGTGCTAGCAAACTTTAACCACCATTGGGATTTTCACACAATGCTCCTCTGGTAGGAAAGAACCATTGCTCAATGACCCAGTTAAGGGCCATTAAGGAAAAAAAGACAAATCAGTACGCAAAGAAAGTTGTGTCCAATAGCCCAGGAGTAGTGGATTTTACAGTAGGGTTAGCAGATTCTGACTAACTGCACGTTGAGTAGACAAGGCAGTCAAGTTTTAACAGTCATATCAAGGAAAGTTTTGGTGGGACTAGTGAGAATGCCTACTGTTTAACATTTCCTCAAGAGCAAGCTCGAAAATTGTTTTTCTTTGCACCCTGGAAATTCTCAGTAACAATATCAAAATAAATGACTAGCCATTAGTAGCGAGAATTTATGTTCCCATATTGGTAGTGAAGTGTTAATGGAATGTCTCCCTTGTTAACGCTTAGGTTGCAAAAGGGCATGTTCAAAACAGAAGCCATGATCCAGCTGGAACGAAAAAGGACTTCAAAGGCAAACAGAAACTTACCCTAACATCTCAGAAGGCAGGCACAAAACTAGAGCCTGGTACAGGGGATAAATCCACAGAAGCTGTTCTAAAATCCAAGCCTGGTGCACAGAAGCTTCCTCCAAACAATCCGCCTAAGGAGGATACATTGGAAGACGGTTCACTTCTATCGATGGTATCTTCGTTTGCTGTGGACCTGACAGTCGCAGCTAATGAAAAGGTAATTAGATGCATTTAAACTCATCAATAAACGATGAGCTTGAGGAATGGTGCAAGAAAGGATAGTGGAGCCCGAGAGCAAACTAAACCAATCGCGTAGGGTATCCATGACAACCCCTGTGAGCAGCAACCACCAGGCACCATTACACTGAAAACAAACAGTGAAAACACAGGATACTTACCACATACTTACCCTCAAGCCAAAGGGGGCTGGGTAGGCTGTGAGAAAAGCTTAACGAGCACTGTCCAGCAACGAAAAACACGCGGAATGATTTGACATCCGAAGCCAACCCCCTGCACAAATCCCCCGGCCACCCCGTACTCACTCTGAGGGAGACTGCTGGCCAGCAATCTTATCTCGTGTTTAACTTAGCCTAAATTACATTTAACCACATTTGTCAAATAGATTCCTGCTCCTGAATTTCTGTTAGCTAGCAAATCATATCGACGTTGACCATTTATAAAGCACAATTCATGGCTTGACCTCACGTGCAAGACTACCTCCTTTCTCTTAGCGCGCCGAGGGAGACCCCTGTGTTTTTCTTTTGCTGTTTTTTTTTGTGTGTTTGTTTTTTGTTTCTTGTTGGCGGAAAAATAACTAAGGGGAAGAAGGACTTCTACAGTCAATAAAAATCTATCTGGTAAAAGCTTTTTTCTTTCATTATAGGAACTCAGTCACGGTATGTTGATTTATTTTGGCCACATACTAAATGACCTTCAAATCGAAAGAACCTAAAAATAGTAATTTTCCAGGGTAGAAAAACGCCAAAGCGATAATAATAAAGTTTAAAGGAACAAGGATGGTTAAGGATGGAGAAGATTAACGCAGATCACAAAAGAAGAACTTGAAGAATTTAGGCCAATCTTTTCAAGATGCGAAAACCGTGACGGGCTCCTTTGACTAACTCAGTTTGACTCGGAGAGAGGACTGAAAAGAGACAATTCCGAGTACCAAGTAGAGTAAACGGGAGTCGAAACCTTGACCTTTTGCACTCCGGTAGATACTAAACTCGCCACGCCACGAGCTACACTTTAAGATCATCTTCTAGTCGGAGTAGATTCACATGTTACATACGTTTTGCATAATTATTTTACCGCTAGAGCAAAGTCAGTAACGCCAAACGCACCAAGTGTGGTTATAAATAGAAAGATGTTAGATGTTAAGCATGGTCATACCAATAACTATTGTTAGTTTGTCACAAGTCGTCTCAGTTAAACTTTAATCATAAATAATGTCTTCCCAGCTGTTCTTGACTAAGCGTCGAGGAGGCCAACATTCCAAGAAGATGAAGAAAGCCAAAAGAAAAGCTGAAGCGCTGGAGAGAATCCGGAGAGGAGAGCCGCCACCTAGAACAGCGAGACGAGTTTTTGTGGAACTCCCTAAACCAATCTGCGCGTTTTACAGAGAAGGAAAGTGTAGGAAGGTATAAGCAGAATTTAACAGTTTTGAGTGCAAACGATTAGCCTGAGAACAGGCTCTCTAGTCGAGGATGAGGCGAAGAGAAAGCGTAAAGAAAGAGGAGAGAAGGGAGGGGAGAGAAAGGAGGCGAGACGACTCCCCAGACCCCACCCCATTCCTCCCTAGGCCACTTCACTGTCAGCCGGTTCCTTCTCAGCTATTCCAGTCGGAGCCACTTACCGGAGCCTGTTCACAATTTCTCGCACTCCCCTCAGCCGAACACTGTAATTTTAGACCCGATTTGTCAAACCAAGGTTCGTATCCCTTGGAGATTCGAAAATTCCTGATTCCACTGTACAGTACATGTCACGAATTCTCGCAACCTCATTTCCAGAGGCTCTCTCTCTCCTGTGCCTCCTTGTCGTTCAACGACAAGGGAGGAAAAGGAGAGATAGCTTGGGATCGAGGTTGGAATTCTCCTTGAGGAGTACTGTATTTTACGAAAATCATTTTCGAAATTTCTTTTGTGTTTCTGACTTTACCTTAGTAAAATAATAATAAGTGAATCGGTTTTTTCTTCTTTAGGGCAGCGATTGTTCGTTTCGTCATGACAGATCAGCTCTAATAAAGAGAAAAGAAATTTGCAGGTTTTATATGCACGCTGCAGACAACTGTTTTGCGGGAGAAGATTGCATTTTTATGCACAATATCCTTTTTGACGCGTTGCGTCTCGCCTCAAACAAGGGAGAATGTAGATTTAGAATTCATTTTTCTCTACCAACTTCAAGTTGGTGATCAACCCTGGGTTAAGAATTGCTTGCTTTCAAACGCGAGGAAAAGACAATTTGAAAATGGAATGCTTGCAAGATGAATCTTTCAAGAATTAGTACTGAATACACGTGGTATGGCCTTTTCAGTTGAGACAAGTTTTTCTGTGGTCTAACTCATCTTCTCTTCACCACAAAAATGTAAATTATTTAAAGACCGAGGTAAATTCTCTTACAGTACATGTGATAGATTCCTCTGAAAATGTAATAGAAATGTAATAGGAGAGCGGAAAACCGATTGGAAAAAGAGTACCCGATGGATGCCATATTGGTATTCTCGGTATTAGACTGAAACTAGCTTGCAATGGAGGCTCATGCGAGGGGGTATCATTGAACAGAGATTTATGCCATTTGGATTTGAAAAGACTCCCCCGCATTAGCCTCATTTGCAAGCTAGTTCCAGTCCAATACCGAGTGTACGAATGTGGCGCATAAGGGGTGGTTGTGAAGGGTATTTGATGTGACTTTGTCAGACCTCATATGGCAGATTCCTTAACTTTTTCCAAGTTCGTTTCCATGTAAGTTCTTTCACACCTCAAGATGCCGGGACGGTGACCACTGCAGATTCTCCCATGATGCCTTAACAGAGGAAACAGACCGGCTTCTGCAAGCGGTAATTGGTTATTTCTTATTGCATGTGCCCTCGGCTTTAGAAATAGGGCGGTTTTCATTTAATTTGAGTGTCGAAAAGTGAATGGTTTTGCATCACC